AAAACTTGGCCCTCGTGATAGCTTTCTCTCCCTGCATGCACTGTTAACCCCATCATTTCTGATGCTGCTCTCCGCTGCCTCTGTTCCCTCAACACGCATTCCGAAGGCCGATCCCCGTAGAGAACCTCCTCCAAACCTCCCACCACCCAAGCACCATCAAAACGATTATTATGCAAGCCCTTCATACATTCCTTTAAATCCTCAATTTCCTCTACAGGGTATCGTGCACTATCACCCACATAACAATCACGTAACCGTCCTTCCAAATACCCCTGAAGCTCGTACAACATTTGATTGTTTTCCCGCCCTCGCCGAACATAAAAATCCTGGATGTGTGTCTTAGCCACCATATCTGACCACCGAACCAAGTCACCATCTCCAGGTGCCTCCGCCCACAAACCCTCCCACAAGGTCGCAAATGATTGGCTGCTCTCATCCCCTTTCAACAATTTAACATTCAATTTCCAATAACTGCAATTCCTTCTTGGTAATCCCTCCCACCCTACGTCCACGTGAACCCCTCTATGATCGGAAAACACCACATCCACGATACGCATGCTCTTAACTGCGACAGTACGCGGTACATACACTCTATGAAGGCGGGCCGTGTACCCACGATGTACAAAAGTATGCTCAACCTCAGCCCCCCACCGCGTCCATTAATCCCACCACATCCATTAATCCCGCCCCAGTCAATAAATCCCCCAACACCCCAGAAAAGTGTCCACTTCCCCGGGGTTCAACATCCCTATGCCGGATCACGCAATTCCAATCCCCTCCTATGAGCGCCACTTCAGGAAGTGACCGCAAATAGTAAATTAATACCTCCTTCACAAATGTAGTTTTTTCACGCCCATCATTCTCAGCCGGTCCATACATGCACACGAAGGCAGCCCTCACCCTGCCCCATGGACCTTCCACCCTCATTACCCTCCCCTCCCCCTCTCACAATGTCTCACAACAAACGGGCTAGTCTCCCTGATCATGATGGCAACGCCACCTTTCAACCTTATAGCATTCTCCACATACTCATCATACCCATCTATCCATAACTCACTTCCTAATTTATGATTGTGTTCCTGTACGAACACAACGTCAGCATTATTACGCACTAATAATTCTCTGAACCATACACGCTTTTGCACACTCCTCAAACCATTAATATTTATTGTCAGGACACTTAAATTGGTCAGTGGGGGGTTTCTTTTCGATACTGAATGTTTCTCACCTAATCTTTTGTTCCCACCTTTTTCAACCCCTTCCCCCTTCTGAAGCACTCTTGACGAACCCTTGAGCTTCAGGTCCACAGGACCCTCTCTCTGCCACATCCACCCATGTTTTTTTCCCTGATCGCTGGGCTGGCGTCAGCACTTCGTCAGAGTCTGAAAGAGCAACAGAGTGCTTTCGCGTTACACTTTCCACCTGCATGTCTTCATCCACAGAGCAGTCCCGGCGGATTTCCACCTCACCGTATGTTTCAGCAAGGCGTCAGGGACGCCCACAACCAGCTGCTCTGCGCGTCCAGCGTCCACCTTCACAGCAGGTTCCAGGTTTAGGGATGGGTCCGTGGCAGGACTCATGCTCCTCTCTGTAAATAATGCATCCAGCACGGAGGCAATTGATTCCTCTACGTCATTGTTATTCACATCTTGCATAGCCGAGCCTTCTACTGGTTTCGCCTCCAAAGAAGGCGACACTTCCGGGTGTGTGGCACATGCTGTTTCTGTCGACCTCTTAACCTCCTCGCTCCAAGACAATCCTGATGGTATCACCGGCCCACCAGGCACATCTTGCCCGGCAGCTTCCTCCTCAACGTCCGTGCTTTGTCGCCCAACCTTGGCACCTCGTCGTCGGTCACACTGTACCGCCATATGATCATATGCGCCGCACAACCTGCAAGTGCGGTGTTGCCCTGCATATAACACCATTACCTGAGTTCTGAAGTCTTGCAAGATCACGTAAGAAGAGATTGGGCACATTTCTGACCTTCACCTATGTGTAATAGCGGGAGACGTCATGTAGCTTGAGAGACACTGCGAGGTTAAAACCAGTAGATTAACCTCCTGGAACTTGTCGACCACCTCCTCATAAACATGAGCCGAGCAGAACTTCACAAAGATCTGTGATACGCCATTCATTGCCACACCGCACAAGTCCTCGTTGGCAATACCATAAGTATCACGAATTATCGCAGGCAATAGTAGCGCCGTAGACGGTCCAAGCACGGCCCCACGGGTCAATTCAATACACACAGTATTGACGCGGCGCCTTTCCGCCATGTTATGAAAATGAAAACTGCCACCGGTCAACTATAGGGGGCAGCAGTAGCACACGTCCTCTCAACTCAAAGGCTGAGAGACGAATATTGTTTGATTTAAGGTGTTTTTCCTTGGCTATGATCCATGTTCCATCACTTGGCAGTGATGGAACGTATGTTTACATAAATATGTAGGTTCGTGAGTGTTTATGTATATATGTGTGCATATGTACAGAAATATATATAAATGTATTTATAAATGTATACATGTGTGTGAGAGGGCATGTTTGAACAGGAGAATATAGTGGGTGACAGAGCGTAGCATTTTAGTCATAAGATGCTTACCAAATATACATTAAGATGAGGAGTATCATTTGTTCATAATTTTATCCATTGTGAAAACTGAACTAAATATAAGTTGATCTACAGTATTGTTTTTGGTTTTAGTGCTGTTTAGCCCTTGTGGCTTAGCGCTTCTTTTTGATTATAATAATAATATTTTGGATTTAGGGTATAATTATTACATGTCTGTAACGTGAATATTGACATATATATATATATATATTGCAAGTGTAATGTCTGATGAGGTGTATGTGTTTTAGCTGTATTTAGTAGTTAACATTATTGTGTCAAGTAGGTACTGAATTTAGGTGTTTTATTCTACATTGTCTGTGTGAAAAGGTGCCACTTGTTTTTGGATCGTTGAATTAGCGTCTATTACTTTTAGGTTTATGGGAGATAACAGTGACAGCACACTTCACCCAGCAGGGTGGTCGGTGTGTGCACAGAATTATCTAGATTCCATACGAAGAATGTCTATATTGGATGATATGATCGTCAGTAGCGAGTTGTGAATGGTGTTGTGTAGGATGTAATGGCAATCGAGTTAGTACACGTATTATCCTTGTAATCAAAAGTATAAAATTGAGTTTGTTGTTTAATATTTATTGTGTGAGGGGACAATGTCATAATCATGAGGTGTGTGTTGGTGTGTCGTGTATATATTAAAGGTCAGAAGAACGGGGTTTGTGTAATCAGGTCAGTGAAAGTATACTTTTTGAGGGTACTGTAATTTTGTTTTGTATCATTATAATAATTACTCACAGGTGTGGGTGAGTATCGGTTGTGTAAGTTATAGACAGCATTGTACTGTCATCATGTCTCACTGTGTGTAACACAGTAGATTGTGTACTGGAATCATTACTTATGGTTCGTGTTTGTTTCTTTGTTATACATGTACTTGTTTATGTACAATTCTGAATGAAGGATTAATAATATATAAATAACAAAGTGGAAAATAAATGCATATAGTAGGTTTGATGCTTCTTTGTGTATAATAATAAAGCATATTGTAATATATTCTTGTGTAATCTTGCTTAACACAGGTACAAGGGATATAATGTGTAGGGGATGAGGGACAGTTCGTGTCAGCACAAAGTTAAACGTCTGTGTGTATTTTGACAATGAAATTTATACTTCTGTGTAAGAACTGATACTGTGTTCTTTTATTTAATGTATTGTATTGTTTTAAATAAAATATAAAAAAAAATCTAGCAAAAATGCTCACTCTGAACGTGTTTGCTCGGATTTTATCATCTTTTCTGTAACATTGGAAGCTCCTGATGATGTGTGTTGTGCGGCTGAGTTCTGGTGCTGCAACGAGAGCCTTTATGATTTTTCATTTTATTTTTGTCCACATGGGGGTTTATGCAACTTGCATTAACTTGTTCATCGTTTTTCATATGGTGGCGAGATTATATGCTTGTAACCACTGAATGAGGATTAAGATCAGATCACAGACATGGGCGTTTAACCATGATCGAGACCTCGTTTGGTTTATCCTCTCATGGGAGGGAAAATCACTATGGTCTAACCCCTGGACCATTGTATTGATAAATACCATCTCAGAGCAATATTTTTAGCTGCTGTCCGAGGAGACACTACGTGGAGTTTCGCTCTAAGGCAACTACAACACGGTGTTCGATCACCAGCTAGTTCTGCTGTTATTGATTAAATACTATGTTCGTGGGTTTCAGTATTTTTGCTCTCATGAGGCGGGCTAAAACAAACGGGTGCGATCACAATAGCTCTAAGGTACTATACATGTGTGTTTATATATATATATTGTTGAATATGTAAAATTGGTCAATTAGCAAGAACTCATTTAAAATTAAGTCCTTTCTAAAATTTTCTCTTATACGTTTAAAGATATATTTTTTCATTAATGTTAATGTAAAAAAATTAATTTTGCACCAAAAGAATCTTAGAAAACTTACCTAACCTTGTTATAACAAGAGCAATTTATTTTAGCCTAACCCAACTAAATATATTTTAGATTTGTTTACAGTAATTTAATACTAAACAAACACAGTGAAATATATTTTTTTTCGTTAGGTTCAGAATGATTTTGGCGAAATTATTGCATACACAAATTTTCACTTGTCCTATATGGCAAGATGAACGTTGCTATTTAAGCCAAGAGAAGTTCGCTATTCGCCACGACATATATATATATATATATTATATATATTAATATATTTATATATTGAATATCTATATGTTATAATATATATATATTATAATATATATATATATATATTATATTATATATTATATATCGTACATATCAGATAATTTTCTTATTTGATAATTCCGCAGCAGAGGCTTATCATGATTTGGTTTCCACTGTGAATGTTAAACCAGATGTTGTTGACAAAGTTAATTCAGTGTTGTGAAGGCAGCCATGGCAGGTACAAGTGTACTGAGACACCTGCAGAAGCTGGCTCTAAATACTCTCTCAGCAATCACTATAGAACCCATATTGTTTTTACAGTATACTGGTTTGTATACACTCACAGTTGTTAGAGACACCCTGAAAATAGAACGGTTCTGTAGAGTGACCCTAAACTATTCCACTGAGGAATGCAGCGCTATTAACGACGGGGAGCATACAGAGCTACAGGTGAAGGTACAGCAACTCGACAGTGTTCTCACATTTTATGAAAAGATAGCAAGCACTGTTATACCAATCTTGTTGCTGTCTTTCATTGCTTCCTGGAGTGACAAGCGAGGCCGTCGTATTCCAATCCTCCTTTCATTGTTCGGAGAAATACTTTACGCCATTATCTACTTGCTGGAGGCGGTATTTACCTCATGGTCACCATATGTTCTTTTAGTTGCGTCCTTCCTTCAGAGTATTGGAGGAGGCTTTGTAATGCTTTTAATGGCATCTTACAGTTACATGGCAGACAACACCACTAAGCAGTCTAGAACAATTCGCATGACAGTCATGAATGTATTCCGTCATATTGGAGGTCCAGTTGGAACACTTTTGGGTGCTTGGATCTTTGAGATTGGAGGTTTCATATCAGTCTTTAGTACCTCTCTCCTTCTGTACATTCTCGCTTTTGTAGCAGCTTTAATTATAGTCAAAGAAAAAAATTCAAGAAGAAGAGAGTGCTGGTCATAACCTGAAGGAAACAAGTCCATGGAACCCGAAGAATGTGACAGACTTACTTCGTGTTGCCACGAGAAGACGATCAGGCAGAACCCGGGGTCATCTTATACTCCTCCTGACACTGATACTCGGTTACTTGAGCTCTTTACCCCATAACTTGTACCTGTGGACACGCAGAGTGTTCACCTGGGACCAGAACCAGTACAGCTTATACTCGTCACTCAACTTAATTTTTGAGCAGCTGGGAGTTCTCAGTACTGCAGCAATTTCCCGCCGACTAATTCTACACGACTGTGAGATTGGTGCAATTTCAGCCCTCACTTTGTTTATGAAAAACTTGACTTTCGGATTTCTGACCACTTCTAGTCAGTGGTGGGTTCTATATGTGTTTATTGCCGTGCCTGGCTCACTGCCCAGCGTCATAGTCAGATGCCAAATATCTAAGGTGAGAAGATTGGAACTAAAGCATTATTTTATTGAAAATTGACACACTTTGGTACACTATTTGATTAATATTTCTGATAAAACTATCAATTTAGAAATAACAATGATAGATATGGTCTATCATTATTATTACCAGGGTAATAATAGTGATACATATGCATTCTTTATTCCAGCTGTGTGATATGGAGGAGGTTGGAAGATATTTCTCACTTGTGGCTATCCTAGAGGTGTTGTGGCCTTTGATAGATGCTGCTATCTTCACCGCTGTCTACATGTCTACTCTCTACATCTATCCGTCTTACGAACACCTGCTTGGTGCTTTATTCAGTGTCTTCGTCTTGGCAGGTTTCCTGTTTCTCAGGTTGTCCTTGGCCAGTTGTCAAGCCACAGCACTTGGTGTTAAAGATTCACTTACAGTACCTGATGTCAAAGGTTCACATACAGTATCTGATGTCAAAGGTTCATTTACAGTACCTGATGTCAAAGATTCATTTCCAGTACCTCATGTCGAAGGTTCACTTACAGTACCTAATGTCAAAGGTTCACTTACAGTACCTACTGTCAAAGGCCCCACTTACAGTACCTGATGTTAAAGGTTCAATTACAGTACCTCATATCAAAGGTTCACCTACAGTAATTGACGTTATACAGTAGCAAGCGTTGACGCCAGCAGACAATAACCTCCTTATCCAAGACTAGGGACAATGTTTGACTCTTCTGGTTTATCGATAGTAGTAGTAGTAATAGTAGTAGAAATAACAGTATTTGTAATAGTAGTAGTAATAATACTAGTAATAGTAGTAGTAGTAATAGAAGTAGTAGTAGTAGTAGCAATAATAGCAACATTAGTAATAGACAATCAATCTATACACTGCATATCATACAGACACGTTAACACACCTAACTTATTCCTCTACAAACAATACTCCTGCACTAGACATCTTTCATCTGGTCGTAATTCGATAAACATATCTCTAGTTACTTCATGACCTTTCTAGCTAAGTTATTCCAGATAGTCTTACATCCAAAATCACTTTAAAAAAATATACAGTATGTATCAAAGAAGAAATTACATAAATATTGGTATCATGTTTTACAAGATTAAAAAATTATAGTTATATTGATCAGTGATTTAAAAGTCTTAACTTCTTGTAAGACAACATTATGGTTAAGTACAGACATTAATGGCGCAGCATTTGGACTACTGGTGCCCTCAAGGGAGGTTCCTTGACACTGGTGAGGGGCTCAGTATCTAGGGAATGGGATCTGTGCTCCAGTTCCCTGAATTGAGCCTGAATACCTTCCATCCTTTCCCTCCCCCAACTTGTGCGGTATAATCCTACGGGTTTAGCGCTCCCCCATAATTATAATAATAATATTTGGACTACTGGTGTTAGTGGGGAACCCCAACATGTTTCGTATTTACAAATATAAACCTGAAAATTATTAAGGTACCCAGAGGTAAAACCTTGCCAGACTTAATCAGACAAAATTGTATAAATAAAACAAGAGTATCAAAATTAATAATTTTTAAATTTCTAAATGTAGAATTATATTTTGCATAAAACATACGAAGTCCTATTTCAACTTCCTTATTATCTAGTAAGTTCGTAGCGGTTGACAAGACCCGGGCCGGGAGAGTACCGGCGAATCAAGAAGTCAAGGCCGGGCCACCACCTGGAAAAGACCCGGGCCGGGCCGGGAGAGTACGGGCGAATCAAGAAGACAAGGACGGGCCACCATCTGGAAAAGACCCGGGCCGGGAGAGTACCGGCGAATCAAGAAGTCAAGGCCGGGCCACCACCTGGAAAAGACCCGGGCCGGCCGGGAGAGTACGGGGCGAATCAAGAAGACAAGGACCGGGCCACCATCTGGAAAAGACCCGGGCCGGGAGAGTACCGGCGAATCAAGAAGACAAGGACGGGCCACCATCTGGAAAAGACCCGGGCCGGGAGAGTACCAGCGAATCAAGAAGACAAGGACGGGCCACCATCTGGAAAAGACCCGGGCCGGGAGAGTACCGGCGAATCAAGAAGACAAGGACGGGCCACCATCTGGAAAAGACCCGGGCCGGGAGAGTACCGGCGAATCAAGAGACAAGGATGGGCCACCATCCTGGTAAAGACCCGGGCCGGGAGAGTACCCGGCGAATCAAGAAGACAAGGACCGGGCTACCATCGGAAAAGACCCGGGCCGGGAGAGTACCGGCGAATCAAGAAGACAAGGCCGGGCACCATCTGGAAAAGACCCGGGCCGGGAGAGTACCGGCGAATCAAGAAGACAAGGACGGGCTGCCATCTGGAAAAGACCCGGGCCGGGAGAGTACCGGTGAATCAAGAAGAACAACATCAAAGCAAAATTTATGCACTGAGATATAATAATACTATAGCACTTCGAAATTAAAAGTGTCAAGTGTTTCAATATATTCCATTAAATAGATGAATCTCTCAAGTAGGATACGACTGTTGAAATTCTACAGCCGATCAGAAGAGCCTGTCTCTACCTATTGATCTGATTGCAATGAGTAATTGATCTGATTCCAGTGAGTAAGTGATCTTATTCCAATGATTCCAAGTGTCTTTAACTAATACAGTAAAATTTCAAATTTTCACCTATTTGGACTAAACTTAAGAGTTATCATCTTAATTAAGATGCTAACTCTTAATAAGAGTTATCTTTATTAAGAGTTATCTTCTTTATTATAAACCGCACCGTCAGTAATATTTTGAAGCCAGTTAGAATAAAAAATTAACATCTCTATTTATTCAATAAACTTGGCAAACTGATCCTTATGGGAACCAGCAGCAGCGTGAACTTGGTGCTCGAGAAACCACACCAGTGGTGAAAATTTGAAGCCAATTAGACGAGTCATTCTCTAGTTATGACACGGATTTCAACAATTCCATTTTCTTTATTGTTTCCCTACAATCTCAAATTTGCCAGCACGCAAACGAAACTGACTGGGTACTATTCTGAGCTTAAGATGCGTAAAGATGGCTGATGGAGTGCTACAGGGAACAGTATCTTCGGCAAGGTATGTAGAGAGTTCTTCCGAGATCATCCAGTGTGTGCATCAAATGTCTCTACTATGCTGTTTAGTGTATCAAGATTACGGGCATTATTCTTCCCTCAGTCTTACGCCTGGCAACGCTCTACAAGGACTGCAAAGGTTACATTATCAGTTTACCATATCTTAATAGATTATTCTATCTGTCAGTAGGCATGATGAATTCAGAATTCAATTTCACCGTCACCAACCCAACACACTTGCTCTTACTGGCCTCCTCGCTGAAAGTCCCAACTTTGACGCGGAATCTCTCTGACTTTTTAACAGAAACTTACTACACCAAGTTTGATTTTAATTTACTTATTGCACTCTTTCCTACCCCCGCTAACCCTTACTCTTGCACACTTCTCTCACCCCCGCCTACCCTCCACATACTCTTCCCTCAGCACGTCCCTCTCTGCAACACTGCACGGCCTTTTCTGGTTTAGAGTTTAATTTGGTTATAGTATTAATATTATCCATGTAATTTACACATCCCTTTCCCTAATATTCGGTCAGATATTGCATATTAGATGTGAACTATAAACAAACTTAATAACAACAAGGTTATCACTGCAACATGACTGATAAGGTGAGAGAGCAGCAGCAGCAGCAGAGCAGTCTGTCTTCCCACCTTCACCAGTGACGCAAATATCAGCTGTCTAAGGTCACGGCCACCGTGAGAATATCACCTGTCTCTAGCCACTGAGACTGAGAATATCAACTGATTTTGTTCACGGCCACAGTGAGCGTAGCATCGCAACAACACTATTGTTGTGTCTCACCACCTACGTACGTGGGATGGTGACCCTACAGATTTAAACAACTATAGGCCAATATCAAACTTACCATTGCTATCCAAAAATCTTCGAGAAACTCGTGCACAGGAGACTATATTCATTTAGAACGGCACAAAACATACTCAACCCCTGCCAATTTGGATTCAGGAAAAATAAAAGCACTAATGATGCAATTATAAAAATGCTAGACCTGCTTTACACAGCATTGGAAAATAAGGAATATCCACCAGGAATTTTTATTGACCTAAGAAAAGCTTTTTACACAGTAGACCACGGCATCCTACTCCACAAACTTGACCATTATGGTATAAGAGGCCATGCGCTTGCATATTTCAAATCTTACTTAACTAATAGGTATCAGTATGTCACCATTAAAGACACACCATCAACAACACGAATGTAAAGTAAAAGGACACAAGTGCAACTAATGTGACATTTATTGTGGCAACGTTTCGCTCTCCAGGAGCTTTATCAAGCCATTACAAACAATACATGGACACAGAGGGTATATAAAGGCTCTGAGTGAGGTGCAATACTAGTGAGGTAACATTTCGATGTTCACTAGTGGTGTGGTAGTAGTAGTAGTAGTAACAAAAAATAATACAATAATGAAGAGCAATTAATTCGTACATAGTAAAAGGATATAAAAGCTATTACTTGGGTAACATAAAAATAGGTTGGACAAATATAGACTGGAAAGAGGCAGGTTGTTTCAGTGTTCACTCTCTGTAATGTGCTTTGTGTAGTATAACAGAGAGACTATTGATGGCAGGGTTTTTCTGTTTTCAGGAGGATTCTCTGCTAAGACTTCGGAGAATGGTGAAGCTGCCGTTTGTTTTGTTTATATGTATTCGAAACAGCGATCAGTGCTGATTCAAGGCACTTGCGTTGCGGAAATTAGTTTCTTTGATCACTAATTGGGCGTCTCTGAATTTCATGAGATGATTGGTGGAATTTCGGTGTTGTACATAGGCGTTGTTCAGGTTATCGTTCCTACATGCGTAAATGTGTTCATTGAGGCGGGTGTCGAGGTTTCTTGCTGTTTCACCTACGTAGATCTTGTCACAGCCTCCACAGGGTATAGTGTAAACTCCTGCATTGACTGGTTCGTGGTGCTTGGGTTTTGTCCTGGTTAGATCCTTTATTGAAGTGGTAGAAGCGATGGCGACTCTGGTGTTAGCTTGTGAAAGTAACTTTTGAGACGTTTAGTGCAACTGGCGTTGGGAAGAATTATAACTTTGTTGGGAGCGGTGTTGATGCGTGGAGAATTGATGATCTGAAGAGCTCTTTTCTTGCAGTCTTTGATGAAAAAAGAAGGAAATTGTAACTCAGTGAATGTTTGGTGAATGTAAGTGCATTCCTCGTCAAGAAACTCAGGACTACAAATTCGGTATGCTCTTAGGAAAAACCCGATGATGATGCCTCTTTTGGTCTTGGTATCTTGACTGGAATAGAAGTGTGTGAGATCAATTTTATTGGTGGGTTTCCGATAAACTTGAAATCTTAGGTTGTTGTCTACTTTGTGAATGAGGACGTCGAGGAAAGGTAGCTTGTCATTGGACTCTTCTTCTAGTGTAAACTGAATCACTGGTTCAACTGCGTTGAGCCTTGCCTGAAGATCCCGTACATCAAAACGTTTTGGAGTTATTACGAGGACATCGTCCACGAGGTTCTACGACGTAAAGTCAACCAGGACCTTAATCTTCCTTTACCTCCCGGAGATTTTGTTGACTTGATTGAACTCTGTGTTAATTTCAACTGTTTTTCTTTCAATAACAAGCTCTACAAACAAACCTACGGCATGGGAATGGGGTCCCCCATAAGTGCCGTCCTAGCCAACTTATACATGGAACACCTAGAGTCCGAACACTTCGCCAACATCATCCCTTCAAGCGTCACTTGGTTACGTTACGTGGACGATGTCCTCGTAATAACTCCAAAACGTTTTGATGTACGGGATCTTCAGGCAAGGCCCCACGCAGTTGAACGGCGATCCCAGTTTACACTAGAAGAAGAGTCCAATGACAAGCTACCTTTCCTCGGACGTCCTCATTCACAAAGTAGACAACAACTAAGATTTCAAGTTTATCGGAAACCACCAATAAAAATGATCTCACACACTTCTATTCCAGTCAAGTACCAAGCCCAAAAGAGGCATCATCATCGGGTTTTTCCTAAGAGCATACCGAATTTGTAGTCCTGAGTTTCTTGACGAGGAGTGTACATACATTCACCAAACATTCACAGTTACATTTTCCTTCTTTTTTCATCAAGACTGCAAGAAAAGAGCTCTTCAGATCATAAATTCTCCCGCATCAACACCACTCCCAACAAAGTTATATTCTTCCAAGAGTCAGTTGCACTGAACGTCTCAAAAGCACTTTCACAAGCTAACACCAGAGTCGCCATCGCTTCTAGCACTTCAATAAAGGATATAACCAGGACAAAATCCAAGCACCAGGAACCAGTCAATGCAGGAGTTTACACTATACCCTGTGGAGGCTGTGACAAGATTTACGTAGGTGAAACAGCCAGAAACCTCGACACCCGCCTCAATGAACACATTTACGCATGTAGGAACGATAACTGAACAACGCCTGTGTACAACACCGAAATTCCACCAATCATCTCATGAAATTCAGAGACGCCCAATTAGTGATCAAAGAAACTAATTTCCGCAGACGCAAGTGCCCCGAATCAGCACTGATCGCTGTTTCGAATACAATTAAACAAAACAACGGCAGCTTCACCATCTCCGAAGTCTTAGCAAGAATCCTCCTGAAAACAGTAAACCCTGCCATCACATAGTCTCTCCTGTTATACTACACAAAGCACAGAGAGTGAACACTGAAACAAGCTGCCTCATTCCAGTTTATATTTGTCCAACCTATTTTTATGTTACCCAAGTAATAGCTTTTATATCCTTTTACTCATGTACGAATTA